ACCTACCCACCTACCCACCTACCTGCGTGCCTTCCTGCCTGCCAGCCAGCCTGCTTACATACACGGAGATGAGTGTGTGTTGCAACCATGCATACATTCGGTAGAATGCCGTGCCAGTTAGGAAGCATCCATTCTGCATCACATGGATTGGTTCTGGGGAAGGTGCTCTTTGTTTCTCTGAAACCCAGAATGTTGATAGTCAGATGCACACCTCGGGTGCCCGTCCCAAAAACCCCTCGCAGGTCCTCCATCCAAAACCCTTCAACCCCAATGTCGTCAACCCAAAACTGATTATAGTTAACCCCCAAAAGTTGGAAACCGGATTAAGGACAAATCGTGCTGGGACTCCGTATACATTGCTCTTAAGGATTGAGGCTATTGGGTTTCCAACTTTTGGGCTTCTACTATATATGTCTAAAGGACTGCATATGTTGTTGTTACTCAGAGCACCAAGCGTGCAAGAGTAGAGCTATTACCGTTCGGGCTTGGGGGTTCCTAAGCAGCCAACCTTACACATTGCATGAGACGTAGGATTACATTAGATCTGTTGCCGCCTGCAGAGTATCAGATTGTATGATTAGAGGTTGAAGTACGATAAAGCGCTAAATAGGCCCTGCAAGGTCCTGCAAGGCTTCCGGACCATAGGCGACCACTCCAGCAGCCAGGAACAAGGCACCAATGGCAGCTTTCATTCTGAGCTTGTGGTCCGTAGAAGGTTTCAAAGCTGGGCCAATCAGTTCGGGAGACCTTCGAGCCGATGCCAGGTGTCGAAGGGTGCAAACAGCAATGTTACTGTTATTACATACTCGTTGCTACTACATTAGCGGCTCTTCTTCAGATTATCGTTGAGAAGGTCGGCTGAAAGGTTTGAATGCCTTGCTTGTACACTTGTTCTTACAAGTAGTATATACAACTTGATTTAGGGTGTTCCTCTTTAAAGTTGCAATGTAGCACTATGGACTGCACTTGCTTCCTAACCTGAACCTTTCTAGCAACAGGCTTCGTACCTCGCATGGAGTCGGCTCTGACCACAAACCCTTTACGCCCGCAGCCCCCCTGCAACAGCCTCATTTGCCAACATTCTGCAAGTTTCTTAAGCTGGGCTTATGACAACGATGAACCTTTGTATGGAATCCCAACCAATACTGTAGGATCCTCAAGGCACCCTGTTGGCAGACCCCCCCCCCCCACCCCCCAGGCCCTTTCTGTATTGAGCCATGTGCAGGCAAGCCGAGCATGTCCTGGTTGCAACAGCTTTTTCCAGGTTTTCATGGAGGGGATCAGATGTCGAGTGCCACTGGATGGGGCCAAATATGTACAAGTGGGCGCCGCTGCCGCCCAGACTCACGCCACTAGTCGGCGGAACCTGATTGTCAGGTTCAGCTTCACAGCAACCAGATAGTGATGCGAAACCAACCCCATTATTACAAAACTCCTCTAATCACCCTTGCGGCCCGGCATGACTGAGTCGGGTGAGGAAACAAAGTCAAGGCAAGGCTACTGTACAAAAGCCACTTGGCCCCGTGCCAAGGCTAGGCACTTCCGATTGAGCGTCGTCCACGGACCCTTGGTGTTGTTGACGCTCCGGCACAAGAAAAACCAGGAGATGATCATGCGGTTCAAACAGACATGCATCAAATCACTTTAGACCTGAAGAAGAGCCAGGGACCCTGGGCTTCGGGTTTCGGCACCAGGACTCTGGAGGCGGGGCATGTTGGCTGAAAGTTTCGGCCTGCCTTTTGGTGATCTGCAATGCTGATTTTTTACAGCCTTTTTCCTTTCAGTGAATGATAGGCTGACGTCGGCTGATTACACTGGCCCAAATGAGCACCTAGACCTCAACAGAAGGATCCTGGTTTTGGGAAATAAGGGTCCCTATAAACAGAGGTCAGAAAACCCTCCAAATGATCTTTTGGGCCCCGTGTTCGAGCCAGAACCTCCGAGGCAGACAGACGAAGCATCTACTATGCATGGCTCCCGTACCTTAGTAGAAGAGCACAGTTAAGGTTATTAAAACTATTGAAGAGTTTAATATTTCATGACTGATATCTATATGCGAATAGTTTCAAGTAATATAGTACGGCACCCTTAGAATAGGGACCCTAATTTAGAGAACTACCCATAATATGAAGAAGCAGCTGTGGCCCGGGCTGGGTGACGGACTAGGCGACCGATCAGAGCTCCGTGAGCTGGGAGTTGCGGAGTCCCTTGAGGACTGCTTCTTGCGCTGGTGCCTTACTTTTGGAAGAAAAAAGGCACAAAGACATTATAGACCCCGATAGTCAATCCTGATGGTTAGTCACCCTGAGGTTTTCAGTCCGGACATGGCGCCCTGAGGCCGGCGCCCGGTGGATCGTTTCGAAGGCCTGCTTTGAGACTTGGATGATGTGGCCGACCCACTGGCACTGCGCTCGCTGCGCTCGCTGAGCTCGTCGGGTCCTGGGCTCTGCTCTCGGCTGGCGCAGCTGAGCTCGTCGGAGGCCCTGCTCGGAGATCGGCTGCGTGATTGGGAGGGTGAGGGCTGAGGAGACCTGCTCGGGCTCCGGGGTTGGCTCGGGACATCTGCCTGACCATCTGAGCCCACATGGGTTGGTCCTTCACTGGAGTCAACGCATGGGCTGCTCTGCGTTTGCGTGGGGTGTCCAGGCGACTCGGTGGTTTCGTCTGGCCCCGGCTCAGGTGGTGGGTCTGCTTCCAAACGGGAGGGGCTCGTTGAGTCAGTGCGATCGGGGTTCGGCGACGAGAACCCGTCAGGAACCTGCAAGACTGCAAGCCTACAGCAAGTGCAGCGCTGACCGGGAACACGTCGTGTGCATAGCTAAAATATTGACACGGCATGAGCGTAGACTTAGACCCCTCGAACCTGCTGAACTGCACCCACAACAAGCCTGCCACATCAACCTGCGCTTCAAGATGGCCCTCACCGCTCAATCTCGAGGACGGAAAGCAACGATGAACTGCTGCTAAGCATCGGCGCCGATATTCGGCGCACGATACGTCCGTCTGACGCCGGGAGGCGGAGGTTGCAGCAGCTTCTCGCGGCCTCAGAGATGCGACTGCGCAACAGTCTCAAAAACAGATTCTCCAGAATTCAGAATGCGATAAAACACGCATGAAGGAAGAAAGGTGGCTTTGCGTCAGCTGGATGCTTCGCACATGGGCACGGTGGAGTGGAGGTGAATCTGAAGGGTTGGGTGTCAACTCCGACCGTTGCACACGTACTCTTCGAAGTGTATCAATCGAATGCGTCATCCGACTCAGGACCTATGACCTTTCCTTCATGCCCGCTACGAAAACATAGCTTCTCATGTTTTCCTCCGAAAATCTGGGTAGGTTCACAAACCAAGGGACCCGGTTTGGACCCAAAACTGGACACCGCAATTGAGCATCGTACTTGTAATAACCCCGGAACCTCAAAGCCCTAAATGAGGGACCCCTTTATAATTATAGTATCTTTGTAATAAGGAGCCCTAACAGTACTATTATTGGCAATTATTTAGGCTTCTATATGCTTTGAGAACCACCGCCACTCCCCCCACGCTCTTGCTGCGGCCCCTGCGTTCGGTGGCCAGGCTGGCCTGCGACCGGCCAAGATGTGGTATCCAGGAGTTTAAGAAATTAAAAAATATGTCTTCTGGACAAACTAAACTTAAACCTATGAATTGTTAAAGAAACCTATGAGCTGTTACAGGTATTTAAGTATATAAGAGCTTTACGATGTCTATATATATATATATACTTTTGCGTAGGGGCTTGGGTTTCGGCTTCTGGGCCTATAGCATGGTCGGGGCCAGTGATTCATGCACAGATCATACCTCCGATTTTGCTTTCGTTGCTGTTCTGGATCCTATCGTGTGAACTGCGACCGTGCATCATGAACTTGAAGCTCAAAATCCAAACAGCAAGGTGGGTCTCAACTCAGCCCTTGATGGCGCATTTTGCAACGTGACTCAGCGCAACAACGCTCGAAATCCGGGCAGGAGATAGAGCCGCAGTTGTGCCCTCGAAAGCCGCAAGGATTATTTACCACGGTGCAGAACCATCTGTGCAGATTTTCAAAATCCGTCACTCCCAACACCAAACCCGCCCCTCGGCCTTTTTCTTGTCACGACTCCGCTCTGCCTGCCCGTGGCCAGCAAGCGTTCTTGAAGCACGGGGACGGGAATCTGTTGTGAACTGTGGCCTTTGCGGTCTTTCGTCCCTGCCATCCGCGAACTTGGCACTGAATGCCTCAAGCAAACTCAATCATTCCTGCTTCTTAAAAGTGCCCTACCACAGTTCATGTCATGATTGAGAGCATGGCGCTGAACCGCCTCCAACCTGACGAGTTGGAGCTCTCCGTCTTCACGCTCTGTGCACACCGCATGATCTGCATGCTCCACAAACCTTCTTCTAAAGAGCCGGCGGAAGTGCGCACCCCAAACCCGAATACCCTGAGGCGCCCCTAAACAACACAGCTCTCGAGCCTGCTTTGTTCTGCGGCCAGCTCCTGTCGCCTCTCGCTGCACTTGGCTATCGCATGGTGCTGGCTATGCTGTGCACGGAGCCCTGCAAATCTGGGACCTTAAGGGGCCCCTGTTCCTGCGGCTTTTCCCAGTACCCAGGACCTCCTGTGAAGGTTTGCTGTCGATTTTCTCATGCGCGCGCTGGAGATCTCGTCGTTCTTGACCGGAAAAGCGATGTCTAAGGGCTTAGCAGCTCGGCTTCAAGCTCGACTCGAAAGGCTGCACAAGCTCACTTTCTAAACGCTGGGAGCCACCAGTCGGGAGGTCGGTGCACTTCTGAGAACACGGAAATACTGCTCTGGCAATAGAGAGATCAGTAACGCTTGCCTTTCTGTCACAAAGCTCCCAATCACGTGCAAGAGTTGTAAACGATTTTACAAAACTAGCTGTCAAGGCCAGCTGGCATCGAGAACAAAACAGGATTTGCTGGCTGGCCAAGGCAGCCGCTGGTGGAATGGAAGCTCAGAAATGGTGCGAGTAGATCATCTGCTCGTACGTCGGGTATGGATACAGACCTCGTGACAGAGACGCCAAAAGCCCGAATGCTCGTGAAAATCCTCAGCACGGTTCCCCTGAAACCCAAGAAGGGCACATGTCACCGCATGACATAACTTGCTTGACATCTTAGGTCCAGCATCCTCCGGTGTATCACGGCCAAGCAGCTGCTCTCCATCATGGTTTCCGCCTTGTCGACGGCCTGGAAACATTGACTCCCCAAGCTGAGGCTTTTAGACACAGCCATCAACAACGAGGAGCCAACAGCGATTTCATTCGTCTCAAAAGACACTCCGAGAGTCCCGCAGACAATCCTAAAAAGATACAAGCACGCTCTCCGTTTCCGGGACGGCAACGGATGCGAGGGCCACCATTGCTCAGTAGGACTCCGTACCAATCAAGATGGTCCTGACATCTCCGAGAAAGACCGAAATCTGAGCCTAACGATCTGAAGCGGGAAATCCGACACACTTCCACTTCTAAACATCAAACTCCCCGCTGCAAGTCCTTCCGCCACCCCGCGACGCCACACTCCGCCTACAACACGATTCATGCAACCTGACTGAACCCTTTTGTTGAACTCAGGCTCTTTGCTATCAGCTGGCTGAACCCTAGACCCTAAACACTTGTAAATCCTAAACTCCTAAAAGACCCCAAATCTGCCTCTCGGAGTGCAGCCATCTTAACCTTCACGCTGTCGCAAAGGTAGGTCGCTTCCTTCTCGAGGTCTCCTGGGCTGCTGTTAAGGAACTCAAACAAAGTTGCCATAGTTTGGGGTTCCTTTAAGGGTCTAGGATGAGGAACTTAAGTTAAGTTACTATAATAACGAAACCCTACTACTCACTATGTATGCCATTATGGTAACTTGAGTTAAGTTCCGTAACAGCAGCCCAGTCTCCGTGGGGCATGGCGTCCAGGGACGCCTTCAGCTTTTCGAGCCTGAGAGGGGCCAGCTTGTAATTCGTTTCGAGGTTTGTTGGTCTCAGGGTCCCTCCTGCCTTTGGTGTTAAGGGTTCTTGATGAGTGGAAGTTGTTGCAGACATCAATCACTTTCGCTTGGTCAGGGAGAGGATTACTGGTAGACTTCAGAGCTTGCAGGCAAGCGGCTCATCCACAATTGCTTCATAAGCAACCTTTCTTGGCTGAGCGATTTTGCTGCTCATGTTGTCGCACTTCTTCAGGTCTTTGGCGCATGCAGGTATGAAGCCGGTCTCCACCATGTTGATCATGGTCTGTGCCTGTCCAGCGTCTGGCAGTCTCACTTGTTGCGATTTTCGCTTGCAAAAAAGAAGAAGACAGCTGGTACGGAACTTGCTTGGTCGAAGCAGAACGTGTCTGCACCGCGCAAAAGCCTTCTAACAATGCTGGACAAAGGATGTTCAGGTACAAGGGGGCGTGAGCGCGGGCCGCTCCACTTTGTAAAATGCCACAACCACCTTGTGTTGGGGTTTCCTAAGAGCTCTGAATCATTTATTTGTGTCGTGCCCCCGCGCCCCCCCATCCCCAACCCCAGCTCCCCGTGATTCAGTCTTGGTAAACCACCAATAAGTTCCTAGTTCCGTTTTCACCTGGTTACTACTACTACTACTACTGCTGCTACTACTACTACAACAACAACAACTACTACTACTTCTACTATTAAAGGTGAACTGATAAAGCACAACTCGCACAAGCTGCACAGAGCTAGCTTTCATGACTTCGAATTTGTAGAGTATTGCCCAAACCATTCCCCTTGGCTGCGACAATCTTTTGCTGTGCTGCACTATGCAGCCTCTACTCGTATTGTTGCGTTCAGCATATCATCTGTACAACTACCCTTCCCAAGCATTTGTCTGGGTGAAATGCTCGTATTGTATCCCATAATGACGGCGTGAATGTGTCTGTAGATTGCTCTGTGGCAGTACGACCGAGAGCCATCATCTACGACAGTTCTACGACGTGTCGTCTTTCACATGTTGTTGGACAGTTGAGGGATGAAAAGTAAATTGTAAGGCCAGCTCTGCAACACCGACAGTATGAAGTACATCAGCGGACCTTTTCTCGCGGTTGTGTCGTATTCTTGTATTGTGATCGTTGTGGTCAGTGCCTCGATCGTGAGACAGGTGATGTAGTTCTCCAGCATGACCTTGCGCCAGGAGTTCACGCATGCACACGCACACACACCTCTCGCCTCTATATTACTGGTCGTGTCTCTGCATTTCTGGGACCAAGGTTAGTCGTTTTGTCCTATGTGCAGGAAGCATTGCACAGAGCTACTTGAGCATACGTAATATCTTCCACCAGGATCCGGAACAATTGCCCCAGCGCCAAAGATGTCTTTGTAAAGGCGCGCCTCTTGTCTAGCCTCGGTCTCTTCCTTGGTGTAGATCTTCAAGTCATCGAACCTTTGGCTGTTCGGGGCTGGGAGCTTTCTACGATGCTACGGCTGAAGTGCTAAGGATTTTTTGGGTAGGACTTGCAGGGTGTGGCGATTTCGTGTTTCTGGCTGAAGTGGGTCGGAGGCATGGAATCTGGTGCTTCGACACCCAGGCGAGGTAGGCCTTCTGCGCAAGACATGGGTGCACAAATGTACTCATAACTGCGCAACCCCGCACAACGTGTACTCATGACAAGCCATGCAGTTGGACAGCTGTGAGGAATTATTGTACTCAAGACAACAAAAGATAGCTGTATAAACGCAAGGTCGCGGAAAAACTTGAACCGTCGGCCAGCCGAATCCTCATACCAACCCAAACCGTAACGCCCTAAAAGCAACATGAAACACCTCGGCCGGCTCTCTGACAAACGACTGCAAACTCAACGTTGCAATGGTTCGTTCCAACACAATACCCACTGTTTCTCGCCAGCTACTGCAAACGTTTCTGCAGGCCAGGTACAACTTCTTGTTCTTCGCGGAGCTCCATGTCACGACGGCCTTCATGCATACACATAGCCGCACACCCAACAGCCCCTGAGGGTTTGGGATCAGTACTTGGTGGTAGTGTTCACTCACCGCTGCTTGTAGCACATTGTAGCTGCACCTGCGCATTGCCATCACCGTGACTACGCCGACGTCTGTTTCAGGTTCCGCTAGAAAAGGATCAAATCCTGCATCTACTGCTGTTAGCTCTGTGATTGCTGTCAGAACTGTTTCTTTGAGATTCTTTCAGTCTTGTCTCCTCACTGAAACCGCCATGACTGCGATGGTTGCTGCCAGCATCCCCCCCTTCCGTTTCTAGCACATCACATGTTACCAGTTGCTACCACGACTGTTTAACAGCGATGTTAGTACTACTGATGTCACCATTCTCCTTATGCTGACTTGCTCTTTTCCCATATACTTCATTGAAGCTTGTGTCCATGTGTCGCAACTTCAACCAGCTCCGCTTAGACTGACTGACTCACTGGGGTCATCACGGCATCCCACTGATATCGTCAATTTTCTTGCCATCGCCATGCTCCCGATGATAATGATCTTAGCTTTCTAGCGCCTGAACTTGAACGTCAACACCCTGGTGGCTGGGCCTTCGGCGTGGTGTTCAGATTCGGCAGGCCTCCCGCAATGCCATGCATGAACTGCACATTTTGTTGCAGGGGTGTCTGTATACACTTTCGAGGACACGCGGCCGCTCGGCTAAAATTCCACTGCAAGTTCTGCTTGTCGACAGCGCTGCTTGGCTTTCTAGCTGGGACAGCGACAGCATTCGCACTACCGCACTACCGGCTTGTTGATGCAACTTGGACGGCTGATGTGCAAAATCGGTTGGCCCACCTCGCTTGGCAGCTTCCTCCCTCCACTCCGCCGAGTAGCCGTTGCCCGTGAAGATCACGTGCTTGTTCTCCTGTGCCCAACCGCAGGACTCCTGCTCCTGCTGTCCCTGCTCTAGCCCCCGAGCTTACCGAGTATCCATACTCAGTTTGAAGTTCTGCCCGAAACCTCAAAATACATCAAGCAGAAGCCCGCTAACTCCGATCCCAAACTCCAAGCCTAGACTCCCCAGACCCTGGAAGACTTCTTTTTAGCCCTTTTGCCCTCAAAGCATGCTTGAGTCCTTGAACATCTTTGCCACTGCATCCCTGTGGCTCATGCCGCCTTCGATGAGGCCGGCCAGGCTGGCCATGCCGGCCGCCATGATGGCGTTACAAACCATGACAGGCAAACCTGGGGGCTGCATATACAGGCCTTAACAGTTTTGGAAGGAGGAGTTCTACTGCATGACTGTATGATTGTATAGGGTGCTCTTGGGAATGCTATTTCTACCCCTCCCTTGCACGATTCAGGTTTCAACACTCAGCGTTGTTTGGGGGGTTTCGTTCCTTCGGGGAGGTGCGGCGCGTGTGTGTGAAAGGCTAGGTTTCCGAGGCAAGATGGCTTGTCAAATCAAAACCCGACATCTGTGCACAGAACTACGATGCGGCTGGGGGGCAGCAGTTCTGCGAGGAGCCAACTGCCCTGAACTCGAAGCGGTTGCCACAGAATGGGAAAGGTGCTGTTCGATTCCTGTCCTTCGAGCGGGTTCCCAGCGTCAAAGCCCTCAGCTCTATTCGACGCAATTCGACTCGTAAAAGTTCCATACCCAGCAGGCCCTTAATCCTGCGACCCTGAGGTTTTTTGAGCACTAAAGCTAGGCATTGGAGACGATCCCTTTGCCACGCAAGATCTCGCAAGTTTACCCATGCGCCGGTGCTACACCCTAGCATGGACCTTACATGAGTCAGTAAATGCCCACCTACGTTAAGACGACCCTGTACCCTGCAACTTGTCGGTAGTGAGATTAACAATAAGGTGATAACGGTACAAACGAAAGCCTTTACGCGAGCCAAGCTAATTTCTGCACAGAAAAGGTCCTCCACATTGGCCTCGATGTGCATTGCTTGCGAGCATCCTGTCTGCTGGTGCTTCCTTACCGCTATGGCACTGATCACAGCAGAAACCAACATCAAAAGGAAGCGTTGCCATCGCAATATATCACCAAACACAAATCTAACAGACATGACCTATCTGATCCTATCTTTGAAGCTTCCAACAATGCATCCGTGCAGCTTCTCAGCTTTGTAGCCCAACAAGTCTGCGCCACCGATGATGGCATCGACGAACTGTTCGAAGCCCTGGCCTGGATAGAGCCTGGGCAGGGATCTTCAGGTCTTTGAACTCTTTGGCCTTTAGGCCGTCCATACTCCATGCCGAGAGCTAAACAATGCAGTGCGCCAGCTTCCCTGAACCTTGAAGCCCATGCCTCACATCTTCTTCCAAGGCGCGAGATGATGGCCGGAGGCGCTTCCTGCTGCCATTTTCTAAGATGTCTCAGTTCATGTGACAGTCTGACTTCAGGGCCCTATGGCAACATGGCCAAGGCCTAGAGCACCCTCAGACTGCGCCTTAAAGCCTGAAGCTCCGAAGCCGTAAACCCTCAACGCCTCTGAAACCTTGAGCTTTCTTTCGTCGCCCCCAGCGCCTGGGCTCCGAGCCGGTGGTCGTTGCCGGCAGTTGCTACGCTGCAGCGCACAAGCTCCTCAGTGAGACGTATCAGGAGTGGGTCGAATTCGAGGTTCGGGGCCTTGTCGGCTGGATTCATGTGTTGTCAGACATGTAGATAACTATTGGCAAAGTGCCAGGCCTAATTCGGGAAAATTTCCAGATGCGACAATGCCTGGCTTTGCAATGATAAGGAGGATTACGAGGCAAACACCAACACAAGGTGCAACATTGCTGGCAGGTCTGATATGCTGCGATCAATCCTATCGTTCTATCACAGGGCGGCCAAAGTCGACAGCCGTTCTTGCAGAGCTGCACAGGCGAAAAGAATTGCGGGCTGGCTAATGCAGAGAGGTTCTATTTACTTTACTAGCTATGCCTCGTCAGCGGCTCGTCTGCAAAAGACGGTACAAACTACTCGCAATCCATAGAGTGCCATAGAGCCATAGATCCATCTTGATCCGACAACAATTGCAGCCATGGCGCATTGTACTGCGACAGGCCATATGCCAAGCAGGCAATGCCAGTAACAAAAAGCTTCTTGCCTTCCTCCGTCTTTCCAGGATAGAAAAAGTTAAGGCCAGTATCAGTTCCCACTGACCAGTTGGCATGCTTGCCACTGCCATTGATACCCGCAAATGGCTTCTCATGGAATAGCACCTGCAGGCCAAGTTTGGCTGCCTCTCGGTTCATGGTCTCCATGAAAAACACATTGCTGTCGCAGGACACGTTAGCCACCCGGAAAACCGGAGACATTTCGTGCTGACCCGGGGCGACTTCGTTGTGCTTTACGGCCATGGGACATCCGATCTCCAACATCGCTGCCTGCACGTTGTCCAGCAAGGTCTGTACGCTCGTAGGAATGGCCTGGAAATAATTCAGGTCACCCTGTTGGTGGCGCGTGGGCAACTTGCCGAACAAGGTCCGGCCGGTATTCACCAAATCAGGGCGGGCCTTGTAAAGTGCTGCATCTAGAACGAAGAACTCCTGCTCCCAACCCAGGTAGCTATGCATCGTCTGAGCATCCTTTCCGAGTCCAACGGCTTTCAGCATCCGAAGACCTTGAGCCTTCACAGCGTCCATGGACCGCAAAAGAGGGGTCTTCTCGTCGATGCACTTCCCGAAATGGGTGATGAAAGCACAGGGGATGTACAGCGTCTTGTTGAGAACAAACGGCGGAGAGGACCTGTCCCAGGTGGTGAACGCTGCAGCGGAATGTGTCACACGAAGACCCCCATTGGGGAATGAAGAGCCGTCAGTTTCTCCTTGGAAAAGTCGTTCCGCTGGCAAACAGGCCTTAGGACCAGGGGAGCTGCAAAAGACCAGAAAACAAACTGCAACAGAGGTATCATTTAGTAATCACGCCGTCTGCAAAACTATCCTGGTATTGAGAAATCTCGAACCACCGCACTAATTATGCATTCGGATGTACGGGACAGGAGTGTCAGAGATGCCTTCATGGGCTTCGTGACAAACTTGGAACCGAACTCGAGGTCCAGAAGAGTGTCCTGCGATACCCGCGGCTTGCACTGACTGTCACTTTGGCAACTAGTCTCAGGGCCACACCCTGGGGTGTAAAGTTCGGCTGACACGAGGGGACGAGACTGTTGTGACTACTGCTGCACAAGAACTCCTACTGTGCTTATCCGACTCTCGATCTGCCGCCCTTCGCTCCCCTCGGCTCGCATTCATTGCGCTTTGGTGAGCGGCTCGCTGAGGCAAGTACCTGCTTGTACGCGCCGAGCATGCCGCCCACTGCTCCTCCCTGTCCGCGAAGAGGGAAGAACCAGTGGGCAAAATCCACAGCACCACGTTCTCGTGCCTGGGACACTGCTGTGGCTGTGGGGGGGCACAAACTCGTTTCAGTGACAAGAAGGATGAGAGCTCAAAACCACGACAATACTTTTGAGCAAGCAACCCATTCGAACATTGTGTCCGCAATGATCTTCTGATCCTGTTCTGTCATCTTTGAAGTATGTGACCACAGGATGCTGAATGCTCGAGGCGTTTTGGGCATGTTGTCCACTCACAGCCGGACATCAAACGACTGCAGGCAGCAGGAGCATCCGGTGACAGCAAAAGGCACCATTGGGTGCACTGTCAGCAATGAGCTTCACCCATTCCCCGCGAAGGGCGTGTCGGCAATGACTTTCGTCCGTTCTCCCCGGTCGGGTCGCAACAGAAAAGGCCACTAGGCAAGGGGAAATCCTAAACCGAGAACAGCGAGGCATCGATTTCGGCGTCAGTGGCCACAGGATGCCAAGTCCTAGAGGCCAGGCGGTCCTCTTCTGTCGTCGGCGCACCACTGATGAGGCACTCCTGCCAAACGCCAAAATGGCATCTGGTTGCTTCTGCTAACTCGACATCTGAGGACACCCCAACATAGAAATCCTCACCCAGTGCCCTGTGCCCGTAGGCAAGGTAACCCCTATAAGCCCTAAGCATCCTAAACCGGTAGCACAGCAGAACTTCTCTCGTCCTGAAACCGCTTGATGACTGCAGCCGGAAGCTTCTCGGCCATCACCTTTCTCTACGAGGCCTTAAGAATAACAACCAGAAGGTGCTCACAGAATTCTACCGGGTGGAATAGTGTTGCAAGAGGTGCATCACAATACATGGCCGAACAGGACCTGCGCCGGACTTGGGCCGACTTGACAATCTCGAGCCTTGTCGTCAAACATGTTCTTTCCCATCGTCGCCAGCGGATCTGTTCCAACTGGCGTGCCGGTAACGGCCGAGACGGCCTCAAGAATCGCTCGAAACACACTCTCCAAGCCTCTAATTAGGCAAGCTTCGGCAAGAGGCTTGCGCGGAGACGCTCTGAAACTCTCAGCCCAACTTCCAAGCCAGCTGCCTGCATGACCGCTGACGATGTGGCTTGACCCATGGCTACCTGTTCAGCGGCACAGAAACATCCCTGTGATGCTTGACTTGACTGCAAGCAGGAAGCGAAAGCCATGAGATTGAGCTCATGCGCCTGAGCACTGTGGCGTTTGCACGAGGCTTTGCACGACGCCTAATGGCAAACAAGTGCTGTTGAGCCAAAGCATGCGTTGACCGGATCTTCGACACCACCACCACCCACCACAAATTCAGCATGATGCATGCCAAGCGCAAGTGCGTCGCAAAAGACGTGGCGTGCATTCTATATCGATAACTACTCCAGCACAATGCTGAGTTCATTCAGTCCACATCATCTCGGCGTACAACAGGGGCCTTCGTAACAATCAGAAAAGGTTGGGGGGGTGACTTATAGATGGATCTAGGGACGGATTCTATTCTGCCGACCGCCTTTCTTTACTAACATTTCCAGGGCCTGTCTGCGGCGAAGCTGTTCCGCAACTTCGCCGCCTCCTGTGGAAGGCTCGAAAAGGAAGTTTCTTGGGCCGTGTCGGAAGGATCAGTCCCCGTCCGACCCTTATGCGACACCACGAATAGGCTTGATCATCGCAAGTGTACTGGGAACAGCACAGAAAGCGGGTGTTGGATGGAATGGGCAACACGAAACAGTCGAGAAACGACAGACTTCATCGAGTGCCTGCTTGGCGTCCCGCACCATCTTCCGAACACCTTCCGTGTCTTTGTCGCGAGCCTCCCTGGCAAAAGGAAGCACTTCATGAATCCAACCGTGGACACGGCACAGCAAAGCACTCGAAGAGCTTGCTGGGATCCCTGCTGCAAGCTTCTTGTGTAGTCCTTCACCTGCATGGCACAGGCGACTTTGGGATTGTGGCCGGGCCGGGTCAACTGATCCGAGGACTGGAAAACAACGGTTAAAGTTTATGTCAGTTTCGTCAGTGACCAACTGTGCACCATCGGAAGATGGACTTTGAGGCTCCTTACCTCCTCGCTTACTGCTCAAACAGACTGCCCCTGGCTCCTTGCCTTCCCCTGGTTTGTCTAGGGTAAATGACTCTGCGCGACTTTCATCCCAAGCACAGCAGCAATCTGCCGAAACGCAGTCGGAGGCGGTGCGACATCTTTTTCCGGCGCTTGCCAGCCTGAGTTTTGACACTCTTTCGCCTTGGTCGTGGCAAACAGTTGCGATGCGTCCAAGGTGCTCCACCACCTGCACGCTTTCGTGCTGGTTTGTTGGGCCGCGGTGTTGCTTCTCTTGCAGGAGCATCGGAGCCACTGTCTTTGTCTGTCTTCGCTCCACGTGCCCGCTCGAGGCTGCCGTACAAGTCTTCCCAAAAACCGTCTTCATAAGGTCTCTCCAGAGGGGAATTCACCCTAGGTGGGGCCATCCAAAGGTTCAGTGCCAAATGGCCCCCAGCATCGCCACCGTAAGAGATGACTTCATGAAACCAACTGGCAGGCAGGTAAAGCAAGTCACCGACTTTCAGTGTGGCGGTCAGTTGGCGACCCTGGAGGCTGGTTGGAACAGGCATCCGGGCGCCTTCGCAAGTGCTCACATGGCAGAAGCTGTCGGGCAACGGACTCTTGTCGGTTTCGCGACCTTTGCCATCGACATCCGTTTCCATCGCCTCTGTCAGCAGTTGATCTAGCTCTGCCTCTTCGTCATCACTGTTCGGGACTCCGTTCCTCTCACTCCCCCCAGCACCCCAAGCCCGGGCAACAGACACGGGCGCACCGTCCGACCGAATACCTGATGCGTAACTTATAAGCCCATTCGGGTGCAGCTTCGCATCTCCCTGCACCACTCCAACCTTGTCAGGTCAGAGACACCACGACTGTTCTACGACTTGTAACCTGCAACTTCAACTACAGTTCTGGATACGATGACTACGCTTGGGCGGTCGGGTTAAGCTTTATTGCGCAAGTTTCCAAGAAGCGTAGTTGGCTTCCAGGCTTGACCGACACTTTGGGGCTCCAGCCCATGATGATATGGTCGTTTGAGGTGGTGGAGACATGCTATGAAGATTCGGTGTGAGAGGTACATGATACCAATCTTCGCAGTGCAAAACACTGTATCAAGGAAGTGTGCAGCCGTGCCACTGGGCTCAGAATATCTAAGCAGCGTGGGCTGAAGAGCCGAAACTCTTTGCAACCTCTCAGCAGCACATAGATGTTGTCATGGAAGTCATGGTGCAGGCCAGATGATGAGCCCTCCCGCGACCGCCCGAACCACAGGTTGTATTGGACGGGAACAAGCCGACTCACAAGCTTTGGTCGAAGATTCTCTGCCTCCTGCAGTAACTTCAGGACGTGCGGCGGCGCCAATGCTTTGGGACAGCCCCTTGCATCTTCTGGGAGGGCTTGTGTTGTCAAGTATGCCAGCTCGTTTCCTTCGTCTATCTCATCGCAGAACTGCGAAAGAGTGGTGACTTCCCGGGCTCCGGCATCCTGTTGGCCAAAAAACTGAGTGTTCCTGGCCCGACGTTCCACCTCCACCTGGCACTTACCAGCAGGGCCCGAACGCATCGCTGCTGTGCCCTCGCTGCCAGGGGACGCCCATTTTGCTGCTTCATTCCGAAGTCCAAAGAGGGCCTCCAGTGCTCCAGGTGCTGTCCGGCCGGTACTGATAACAACGGGCTTTCTTTGCTTCACAAACTGCTCGTAGAAGAAAGAAGGCTCCATCAAATCCCATGGCCTGCGCTCCACGAACCCACCCCCTCCAACCAGCTCGCGATGCTTGTAATCCAAAGGACCTGGGAACCCAAGACAATAACATCAGTGCTGTACAAGCATGCATCCTAAACGGTCATAAACCCTAAGATCCATGGAACCACAAGATATACTACGTTTTACTATGTTTACATTCATACTATACTGCACTGTACTATGCGATATGAAATATGGTAATTCAAGATGGACCTAGGGACAGAATCCGCGATAGCCACGTCGCAGCGCTGGGCCTTTGTCCCTCACGCGACCACCCGAGATGGCCCCATTTTCCCGGCGCGGGCGCCCGCGCCCTCCCATCACTGCTTACAAAGCGTATCTGCAAATGGTAGTGCACTAAAGTATTTTATAACATAAAACAGTTTAGTTTAGTACCGTATGAATACTACAACATAGTATACATATAAATATATAATAACGCGATACAGCATATGTAATATTAAGATAATGAACAATACGCTGTCAATCGCTCATATGTATCGAGACATGGAGATGTACAGACCCTGTAGATCCTTATGTCCTTTATGTGTTGTGGGACACGGCGCAGGAGGCAGGATCCGGCTTGTTGCAACCGACCGAAATCGGGGCATATGGGACTGACAGGGACGTCCAGACTTTCTTGTACATGCTCAGTGAAGTGTGAAGAAAGGAGACAGTACTCGAGCCAGAAATCACAAACTCTTGAATTTCATCATACGAATGCTTCGAGAGTGAGCGCAATGGTGTCGCTTATTTTCCCTGATGCTTGTGCCAAGCTGGTACCAGGATCGAACTGCCGCGGCTAGGCGCAGCAAATTTCCGGAAGGGGTTACAGTCACCACACCTCCTCATCGCAGTGATGCGGTGACCCACTGCCGATCTGAGGCCTCTTTGTATATATGCATGCTGACCAGCGCATGAGCCTGCACTGTCAAACAGGACATGCAGGAAGACTGATCGAGATATTCTTCGCTCATCGGCTCAGGACGGCTTCCAACGAGGATCGAAGGGACCGCCCACGGTCTTCCTTAGAAACGAGTTGAGCTGGACCTCAAGCCCGATGCACCATGTGCCCCAACTCTGCCCGCTGTTATGCAAAGCAGCGCTTCGAGGAACTCAATGCACACATCGCGAACCTTGGCAATGCAATCTACGGATCTAATTACTGCTCCTGTGCTGAGGGCCACAGCTGATGTTGTTGCTTCGCTGTTGCGAAGCAAAGCTCAGCAACCATCACCGCTGCTACTAGTTCTGCTACTACTCCTCCTGCTCCTGCTGGTGCTGCTGCTGCTGCTACTCCTGCTGCTCCTGCTGCTGCTCCTGCTCCTGCTCCTGCTACTGCTACTGCTACTGCTACTGCTGCTGCTGCTGCTGCTGCTGCTGCTGCTGCTGCTGCTACTGCCACTGCTACTACTGCTGCTTCTGCTGCTGCCGCTGCTGCTGCTGCCGCTTCTGCTGCCAGCATGCGTAGACTCTCGAGCAGCATGAAAGCCAGAACGAGCTCAGCGCCGGGCATCCCAACGATACTGGGGCAAGACGGCCTGCATTCACCAGAGAGTTTCAGCCATCTTGAGACGCCAGCATACCTAGTTGTCTGTGCCTTGCTCCCAACCCCAGCCTGCAGCAAGTACATGTACAGCAGGACCCAAATCATAGATCCAATTCCCCATGCGAAAGCTGCCAGCACGCTCTTGGCCGTCGGTTGCACCTCCTGCAGGGACAGGGCAGAGTCGTCACTGGTATTCCGGCCACGAACGTCCAACAACCCTTCTGGCCGTAACGGTATGCTGAGCTCTGAGGACCGCCCGTCTCTCAACAATTTTGTCCCCTAGTAAGCCATGCCCTCTCGTCCCATGACTTCCCTGGCTTCCACCCCACAATAAGAGGTTCTGTCTGTGGCCTAGCAATCTACAACAGAAGCGAGTTTTGGTGGTTTGATCTGATACTTTGATGTCGGGGGGGATGGCCAACAAATCAGCCGGTAGGATCAGTGAACCTTCACCAAGTGTTTTGCAGCGCCAGTACTGGGGCAGGGCTTCGCTCGCCTGCACTCTCAGAAGGGGATAAAGGCAAGCTGCGGCCGCAATCCGTTGATTGCAGTGGCTACTGAATGACGAATTAGATCGGACTTCGAACTAAACCCAGGACTGTGCCCGGAAGCCTACATTGCACGGTCGCTTGCCGTGATTGCCAAGGCAAGCTATGTCAAAATTGAATTCAATGGATTTTTTCACCTCGAGCATGCTTAGCATTCGAAAGGGCCCTCGTGTCCCCTGCAGAAAAGATCATGTGTGTTGTCCACCAGAATTCCTCCCAGAATAGCGCCCAAGTCACCGACGAAGCACCAGAAAGAGTATGACGCCAAGTTGTGCTCACTTGGAATGTGCTTGTCCACGTGGTTGGCTGTCAGACCATAGATGGTACCATTTCCCCAGAACACAAGGAAGATCGCCACGGGGATGACAATGGCAATTGCGAGGGACTCCAGGTACAAACCTATGCCGATCAAGGCCATCGCCACTCCCAAGTACGCCAGGCGCCGGCGCAGGCTGGGAGTGGACATGTAGATGGCGATGCGGCGGCTAATGGAATCACCCAGGAAGATGAAAACATAAGTGACAGCGAAGAACTGGCCCCATTTCATGAGGTGCTGCTCACTATGAGGATCAAAGAGAGGCACCATGGGAGGATGGAACATGTAGAAGATGGCTGGCCAATTCTCCATGGCGAAGTGGCTCAGGAACTGCGCCGCAAAGAAAGGAATCATGCCTGGCCTGGGCTGTAGAACAGTAGCATGAACAGGAAGAGAGAGAACAATCAGAACTTCACACTTTCACCTATGGTCATAGCCGTGAACTTTAAAGTAACTCCAAGCAGCATCCATCGCCTGGCCTGGACGGTCAGGTCTTCATAGATCAAACAACAGATGCCTACTACTACTACTACTACTA